CTACACTGTGCTGTTCTGTACCATATACTACGCTATGCTATTCTATGCTACACTGTGCTGTTCTGTACCATATACTACGCTGTGCTATTCTATACTGCACTGTGCTGTTCTGTACCATGTACTACGTTATGCTATTCTATACTACACTTTGCTGTTCTGTACCATATACTACGCTATGCTATTCTATACTACACTGTGCTGTTCTGTACCATATACTACACTATGCTATTCCATACTACACTATGCTATTCTGTGCTACACTGTGCTGTTCTGTACCATATACTACACTATGCTATTCCATACTACACTATGCTATTCTGTGCTACACTGTGCTGTTCTGTACCATGTACTACGCTATGCTATTCTAAGCTACACTGTGCTGTTCTGTACCATGTACTACACTATGCTATTCTATGCTACACTATGTTAATCTGTACCATATACTACGCTATGCTATTCTATGCTACACTATGTTGTTCTGTACCATATACTACACTATGCTATTCTAAGCTACACTGTGCTGTTCTGTACCATATACTACACTACGCTATTCCATACTACACTATGCTATTCTATAGTACACTATGCTGTTCTGTACCATATACTACACTATGCTATTCTCTGCTACACTATGCTGTCCTATGCTATAAGTGTGCTATTCTGTATTGTAAAGCATCCTCAAGTGAAATCCACACATTTTGGTCCTCTGAGCCCTAGATCCATGCACCAAGAATTAGGAAAAATTAAAACCAAGAATTAGGAAGTTCCCCCCGGGGTAGGCAACAGGAGCATCCTGAGAATTGAGGAATTCGGACTCAAGTTGGCTCCACCACTGACGGACTAGGCATTCTCACGGAAAGTGAGTTTACGAAGCTGGGTGCTTCAGTTTCTCTACATGCCCCATAGGTGCATGCAGCTTTGGAATCGGGCTTCTCTAAGCCTCAGTTTTCTCATACATGAAATGAGGATAACAGTAGTTACCTATGACCTTGGATACTTTGTTGTGTCTATCCAGTTAGGTAATGCTCTTAGGGGGCCTAGTTCTGAGTGGGTGCTTGTGAAACGTAACTTCCACACACTCCTCTCCTCTCTTGACAGTCCTTTTATGAACATGGGGTACTTATCACCTACCTGGAGGATCTGTGAGAGGAATAAATGAGGTCAAAGAATGCCAAGGGCCTGACCCAGTGTCTGGCACGTATAGTAGGGATTCAGCGATGCTAGTCGTGAGGCTGGGATGGGGTTCACTTCTGCAGTGCTCTGAGCGTCTTTTAGGGGAGGTGCTGCCTACGGGCCAGGAAGGGACTTTCGGAGATCCAGGTGTCTGAGTTTTTTGGTTTTGGGGTTTATTTGAAGGAACATAGACCAAGGTCCGTGTTCACCTGAGCCTAGGAAATGGAGTGTTATCTTCTTAAGAGGAGCGTTATCTGGTTGGTGGGTGTTCCAAGTTCTTTGCCTCTCCTCCAACTCCTTTAGCCCACTCATTTTATTACTGTGTCCTCGTATCTTAGTTACACCTTCTCAGTAGGTGTAACAGAGCAGAGAAAGAGGGGAAAGATGAAGTGTATTCATCTTACTGCCAATCAGGAAGTGGTTTGAAAAGGCTGAATGGAGTTAGAAGGAAGATTTCAGGCACATCTGTGACCTTTAGTCACTTATGATCTGTGTGATTTTTGTCGTTAGTTGAAAGTCAGGCTCTATTTTTATAGGGTCACTTGATGTAATATAGATCATTTAAAAGCTGTGAGATGGTGGTGATGGTTTCACGGGTATATACATCTCCCCAAGTACATCGAGATGTATACATTAAATATGGACAGGTTTTTATTTGTCAATCATACCTCAATAAATATTTTTTCAAAATTAAAAATAAAACTATGTCTTACATATAAGCTTTTTTTAGTGGCAGGTTCAAAAATAAAGTCTTCAAATGGTGATGGAACTGCTTGCCAAATGAGAAATTCCCAAACCAGTAAAGGAGAAATAGCATTTCTGGTTAGAAATAGGAAAACTGAAGCCAAAGTTAGAGTGAACTTATGCATGAATTGACGAGTTTTTAATTCCAAGTGACAAAATTATGCAATGAAAGATGTCATTTCTCCTTTTTTTCTTTATTTTTTTTTCTTTTGTCCTTTTTCTGATGTTCCTATGACTGAATTCATTTGGCAGAACTATTTCCGAGACACCTGGAATATCTTTGACTTCATCACCGTGATTGGCAGTATCACAGAAATTATCCTGACAGACAGCAAGGTGAATGGCTTATAAGATCCTTGTCTTTTAAGCTTGGCCCTGGAGTAGCATTCAAAAAATCCCCATGTACATTCAGTCCACCTTTAACCCACCAAAGCAAATGTGTACCCCTCTAAGTGTTGGGGGTTCACTTCCTCACTGCTCAACATTAGCTGGAGAATGTACATGCGGGAGCGGCGCTGGATCTCGTGGAGGGCTTTATTTTATTTTCTGACGGGGTGCATGGTGTCAGAAGAGAGCTAGTGTGCACAGTTTTCTGCTAGATTCTCAAAAGAGGCGCATTATCTTTGCCCTCAGAGTTCTTAGACCTCAATTGTTTCCCTACATTTGTTCATCCTAAAGAAGACTTGTAGAGCTCGTTTTTAACTCTCTGAATAGCAGAAGAGGGATCACTAGATCTGCTATTTTTAGCATCTACGTGCATACTTCAGACCTCTTGGTAGAAGACTAGAGAGGCCGGTGTTGTCTAATGTGTGCAGGGGATGATTCTGGGGAACGTCCCTTACTCTTCTAGCTGGGAACAGAGGGCAGGCCTGGGAAGGCTTAGGAAGATGGGCCTCACTGGCTGGCCCGTCAGCTGGAGTTGGGGTTAACAAAGAGACTGTGTCCAATTTTATTATCTGAATGAGGGATAAATATGCAAATACTGGTGCTTAGATCTTTCTAAATGACCATAATGTCACTAATTATATGTTTCCTTTTGGTCTACCAGCTGGTGAACACCAGTGGCTTCAATATGAGCTTCCTGAAGCTCTTCCGAGCCGCCCGCCTCATAAAGCTTCTGCGTCAGGGCTACACCATCCGTATTTTACTTTGGACCTTCGTGCAGTCCTTTAAGGTAAGAGGCGCCAGCAAATCCTCTCCGAGGGCTGTCCTATCAGACAGCACAGCTAGGCAGCACCAGCATCGTGACACGAGTCCCTTCACCCCTGGGAAGTTGAAGCTAGTATCTGTTAAAGCATTCAATAAATACAGCAGTTTTCAGTTACAGCACAGCTTGGCTTGACGGCATCCACCTTATATCTAGTGG